TTTTTTTATATTTTTATATATATATATATATATATATATATATATATATATATATATATATATATATATATATATATATATTGTGATGTCCTTGGATCTGTGCAATGAGATCGATTCGCCTTTAAACACAGATCCTAAATAATCTCGATCATAGGTTTCTCGAGAGGGACATCGAGATAGTCGGACAGAATGGTGTGTTATATACCCGTCCATATGATAGATGCAACTAGTCTCATAACTGCTCATGTGAGAATACTAGGGATACAATACAGATGTCCATTGAGGAATGAGTTCACTAATTGATATGCTTATGAAATGCTGAATGGTTGATGATGCCTTATTGTTAGATAGCGATTCCATAGTCCTAGTGGTGTATCTAGTCCTTAGACTTGAGACACCAAGGATGTCATGTATGAGTGCTCCACTCTTTGATACCGGACTTATAGGTTTAGATGTCCCAGATCTAACATAGCTGGTTATCGAGAGTGGTAGTCAACCTTACGAAGGCTATTAAGTATCGATAGAGGATCATTCACTCTCGATATCATGAGAGGAATGTTTCATGTATTCTTGCTCAAACAAATCCTTAGCTAGGGTCATTCGGATTGAGAGAGAAAGAGTTCTCCGGGAGAATCTGATTAGAGTGAGACTCGAGTAGAAACCGTATGGGTCTAACAGCACTATGCCCGGTATATGGTCTTTTGGATATTAAATAGATGAGGGACTATAGGTACACGTTTTCTCCTCTTTATTGTTGTCAAGCTCTCTACGTTGCTGCCCTTTTATAACCTTTTTCTGCCTCTAAAACGCAGCCACCCACACCCCCCAATGTTAATTAGGGTTAGGTTAAGAGGGGGTGAGATGTGGGCTGATAAAGTCCACATTGGGCTAAATATGGGCTATCAGCTCAACAAACACTGCAAAACAAAATAATTTTATTAGAAATCACGATAAGAGAATAATAAGAATTGGAACAAGTTGTTTTTCTTTTTGTCTTGTAAATTCTGTATTCATCTCTTTTTTTTTTTCGTTTAGGTCCTTACTATTTTTTATTTCAGTAATAGGTGAGTTTATTGGTCATATACTTGATAGATTATTTTAGAAAATAATATATTAAGTGAGTTATGAAAATAAAATATAGACATATAAATTTTTAAATTAAATAAATTATAACTATGTATGATCATATGCATAGATATTTCAATTATACCTGTGGGTATAAGTATCTATGGAGACGTACCTCTAGTGGGATGAGGACGGAGAATGAATAGAGATGAGAGATATTCTTTTATTATTTACACAGTTGTGAGGCAAGGATCGATATAATACTCCTCACTTTGTCCCCTCCGTTAAAATGTAAGTCGAAATGTTAGGATTAGACGTTGGGCGAGCCAATAGCCCACCTGATTCAACTAAGGCTGAGTTGAGTCAATTAGGAGCCATTTGGTTTAATTGAATCATATAATAAAATATCAAAAAATATTAATATTTATATTTAGATATATTTGAAGTTAAAAATTATTATGATATTTAAATTTTAAAATTATTATTATTATTTATAAAAAAAATATTGTTGATTAATTTTAATAATAAATTTATTTTTAAAATAAAAATAAATTAATTAGTATAATATAGAATACCCTTGCTCCATTTAAATGAGGAATGAGATTAAGATTGGAGATGAGAGATGAGATTAGGTTGTAACGGGAATCCCCATGTCCCGTTGACATCCCCTTGTCCCATTAACATCCCTGCACATATATGAGATATAATCTTTTAATAGTTACAAGGAGATAGGCCAAACGTGTTTTATTAATCATTTGATAGAAATTGGTACATCATTTGTCAGTAGCAAACCCAATGGCTGATTTCTATCAACTGAAATAAAAGCGATCATTATAGAATAGGCTCTAAAGCAAGCCATCCAGAACTTGTCAATGCCCGCACCCAATGATGCCTTGTTGTTGATGTTTAGCGCCAAGAGGAAGGTCGGACTCTCCAAGGATGTGGGCATAGTGAGCTCCTACGCTTTCTCGATGAGCTTGGAGCTCGACTTAGGCCTTACCCTCATAATGTTTTTCCCACCCTGATGCTTCCGATAGTGACGGTGGGAGGGCTAACCATGGTGACGATGGTCACGTTCGAGCTATCGTAGTAGTCGTAAAAATAGAAGTGCGGTTAGGTCTTCTTCCCTTTTGTATTTATGACTGTCGTTCTCAATAGCAATAATGTCAAAAGAAAAAAAATGACAAAAGGAAAAAAAAAAAGGAGAATGAAGGATAGAGATGAGGTCACAAAAAAGTTTTTTTAATTAAATTGATAGTACTAAATTCATCAAAAATATTATATCATATTTAGATCAAAACATAACATGGTGCATGCAAGGCATAACCTAAGATCCACACCTTATGAATAATTTGACTTCATCCGTGAGTAATTACTTCCCATCTGACGAGCTAATCAACTTTATTTATCTTAAATTATTAACTAAAATATTTATATTTAAATTATTAGTAGTATATCTATTAGATTCTTATAGGTCATCTTATCCATTTTCGTTATAAAGAATGATCGTAGAAAACAAAATGAATACAAAAAAGAAAAAACTATGGAACATGACGTTCAACAGCATGAGGGGGCCAAAGAGGTTTTCGTATGGAGAACTCGTCACCACAACAAGAAGACACTTCTCCGGGGAGAAAAGGGGATAACTTGGTCGGTCGACAAAGGTTACTTGAAGGAGGTGCTTGATGTGACAAGATTTCCATGGGATGAAAATAGGGAAGGAAAGAAAACACGTCCAGGATAAGACCATTAGCCGTTGGGTGATCGAAACCTCGAGCAGTTCATCGGTTGGTGCCACAGCAGGTGTTGCTCATCTACTGGTTCATGCCCAACGGAAGCCTCGACTGCTACTTCTATAGCACCATGAAGCACTTTGAGTGGTCTGTGAGGCATGATGGAGATGAGGCCATGCAAGAGCTTCTGCAGGTGGATGGATGATTGGGTGGCGAGGCATGAGGGTTTTGTGGGCTTTTATGGACAAAGAAGTACAAGTACGCACAACAGTGTTTTTTTATCGTTCAAAATCACATGCGAATCTGCTTCAATTCCACCTCAATTCATTTGACAAGTCAAAACCTCATGATTTTTGGGCAGATTAAATAAATTAATAATACACAACATATATATCTTCTTGTCCAAGAGATTTTGTTAGGAAACTTCTTGTGGGAGAAGTGCATATTTGGCCCTTCATATTATTATTATTATTATTTACATTGACAACGTGTCATCCTTAAGTGTGAGATCTTCTTCTAAACCTCACATCTATCAATTCATAAGATTATATTATTCTTGCTTTGAGCGATCCACTATTAACCATAAAAATTTGGGAAGGCCTAATTTATTAATCTTTTTTTTTTTTTTAAATATGAAGAAGTTATCATGGAATATAACTTCGTAGAAAAATTGGGATCAAGAAATGACTTATTGTGATGAAAAATTAAAAAAAATCTTTAATTTTGTTTTCTTTTATCTTTTATATTATTTATTTAATTTTATTTAATTTTAATTTTCTCTGGCTTCTCTGTTGTTGTTGTTGTGGTGGCACTCCAAGAACAAAGTACTGATGTGGATTGACAGCACTGGAAGATTAAAATCCGATGTATAAATGTCTGATTCGCTGCAGCTTCCTCTACATGTCACTCTCCTTCAAGTGGAAGCAACAATTAATTGCTCATATTCGAAAAGCTATTCCAAGTCTACTATCATATAAATATTGCTCCTTTCGACTTATTTCAATTTTTTTCCACTGCATCCGGATATGACAAAATATAAGTATCATGTTGCACTGCGTTACAAAACAAAGCATTATAATTGTCAGTCACCGTATGGCTGACGAACTAACAAAGTGTAGATGTAGAACAAGAAACAAGCCGGTTTTATTGCAAGAGAGAGGCAGCTCATCAGTGGTGATAGATATAAGAATCGTGCTCGTATACAAGAAACAATTCGGTGGTTCCGGTTGAGCTGATGAGCCTGCTGATAGTGTAGCCCCATGCCATTCGAAATTTGCCGGTCCCTCCGACGATGGTTCGCTCCATCGTCTCGCCGACCACCTCCTTGCCGACGATGGAGATGCTGCTCCCGTTATACTCGCCGGAGGTGAACACGAAGTTTAACATATATAGGTACGCCGACGGGCTTTCTATGGACGCCTGCACGGTAAGATCGTACGTCCTTCCGATGAGCATCGAGCTCGACTCGGGCCCTTCCTTCAGGATGTTGTTGCCCACCGCGATGCTCCCGAAGGTGCTGCTGCCGGGGGGGCTGACGACGGTGACGGTGGTCGCGTTGGGGCCGCCGTAGTAGACGTGAAAGTAGAAGTGCAGGTGGGTCATCTTCTCCTTGGGTTCATCGCTGCTGGCAGGGGCAACAGCGGCAAAGAGGAAGAGGAGGAGGAGAAGAGGGAGGGATGGAGATGGGGCCATGGAGAAGCTTATGCAGGGGTGAACAGATAGATGTATGGGTGGATGGAGAGACGTGAGAGGTTTGCTCGACTTTTATAAGGAGAAGTAGAACAGTGCTCAGTTTTCGTTCTTAATTCAAACTGATTTTGGGGTCAAACTATTAGAATAAAATAAAAAGAAATGAAGACTATATAGAATTCCATAATAAAAGAATATATATTAGTCTATCTTTTTACTGTTTTGTGAGAGAAAACAGGTCATGAAGCGGAATATAGACGCAAATGAGTTGATGCCTCACTGATGGAGTCGTGTCTAATCTTCCCGTTTACGAGTCATTTGACTAAAGTAAGTCACGAGGTGGAAGGATGTTTCGTCAACTTTGGCTGTTGTCGTCCCATACAAAGATCCTATTCATGGATGGAAAATAGTAGTAGCAGCTCCATTCATGCTCAACATCCTGAATAGGACATTTTAGTCAAACTGCAAGCACCGAAAAAGAAACAATTCACAGATCTGTGCACTGATGCATCAGTGGGTCGACAGAAGTGAAAGATCCGAGGGATCCAAAGCTTACATCTTTGATTCACTGCAACTTTTTGTATAGCTCATCCTCCTCTCAGCAGCACATAGCTAGCTGAATGGCAACACCTGCAGTAATGAAATTGTCCAAGGTTGAAGGTGTGACGGACGGCGTTGGAGGTGGCGTTTCTCTTACTCCGTTGTTGTTGACCTACTCCTGCGAAGTAGGTGGAGACTTGGAAGAGCAATCGATTTATAAATAATATTCACATCTTATAAAATTGAAATCATACAGAGAATATTAGTACGATCCTTGTGCATACATATTCCATATTCACATCTGATCTAATTGAAATCATATAGAAAAAATTAGCATGATATCCTAGTGCATACACGAGGATGACGCACTAACCAAACAATCCAAAAAATCAAATTTACGTTGGAGTTCCAAAACTTGAAAACATGCCTTCTGGCTTTGACTGGCTGAAAGATACGTCCTCAAATCTATTCATGATTTGTGACCACAGGAGGAATAACGATGGCTGAAATTTAAATTAAAAGTTTTTACTGATTGTTGCATATAAGATTAAGATTTCAGGTTCATATAGCAATCATGTGCATGCATGTTTTTATTTTATAGATTGATTAATTTTTTTAAATCTTATTTTATTTTAAGATCTGTCTATTTTACTATTGTTCTAATGTTTTATGGAAAAGTTTGGTGATCCCTTAACGCAGTGACCATCTATTTCAGAGAAAATTGATTGGATATAAAGTGAAATAAACTTTTATATATGAACAAATACTAGCAGACTATAACACGCAGTATAATTAAATGGAATCACAATCAAATAGAACACCAAGATATACGTGGAAAACTCCTCTAATGTGAAGAGTAAAAACCACGAGACAAACTAGAGATAATTTACTATAAGAATAATGAATATACAAATCTCAATCTCTTACCTAAAACCCTAATAACAATCATAAGAGAATAATTGGGATACATTACTATGCACAAAATTCTAAATTCTCCATAATTCTCCCTAAGTAATTATATTAAGAATCTACTGTAGATTTTGATTTAACCTGATATAAGAATACTACTAGACGATTAAGAACAGTCTCTCTGCATTGTCATTGTTTTCTTCCCTTTCTTTCTCTTTGGATTTCTATCTTTTTCTCTTCCTTTTTGCTACTGCCAAAATGTGTCCTGCTGCTTTCGTTGTTGCCCTTTTATGCTTATTTTCATAGCCACCACATCCCCTATTAATATGAATTAGGGTTAGATTAAGAGAGGATGAGCTGTGGGCTGATAAAGCCCACCTTGGACTGAATGTGGGCTGCCAGCCCAACAAAAATGCATATTAGAAAAACAATGGAAATAAATTTTAGAGGCCTTTCACTGCCTGTGGCTTTAGTTACCAGATGCTCTATTACATCAATAGAGTCCCATAAATTTTCCTAGCCGATCATAAACCTATTGGGCTTTTCGGTTTCTCCTCAGCCATCCCATCCCATCATTAGCTAATTCACAAGGCTACGTTATCTTGTTTTTCCAATTCACATACATATCCAAGTCAATTCCAGCAACCATTAAAATTTAGCATATGTCACACAAGGATATCCAACTAAATTCCAAGGTAATGTCAGCTCTGATTCATCTATGTTACACTGACTCATTGACCCGTGAGCTATTCCACGACCGATATATGAGTTAACTATGTATTATCATTTTTATGGTTGATGTGGTAAAATTGGTAAATATAAAATTACCTTCCGGTTGTAGTGATGTATAGTCACGTGAGAAAAAGAAATCTTACCTGTTAGCTATAATGATTTGTTATATATCCTCTAAATATTGTTATATTGTGAGTTGTTCTGATACGACCTGTACACATTCTATCGCCATGAGCTTCAAGCTCCAGTCGGGGCCTTCCCATAGCAGGTCGTCGGTGATGCCGATCTCACTATAGTGGTGAAGATCTTACTCGCACACCTACAAAATCGCATCACGTATCAAATCTAATTCCTTCACTTCTTTTCTCGCTATAATCTTGTAAAAATATTTTAACACATTTATTATAATAAGTCAATAGTTAGCTAATTCAATATCCATCACAGATATTTTTTCAATTATAATAAGTCAATCACTCTGTTTATTTATTGACTTCATAAAGTGATTTATGATGTTTTAATTACCGAATCACTTCCCAATTGTATGTTTTGGGTTCGCTTAGATGATCAAAATATAATTCTATTGATCCCTAAAGAGAATTATGAACTTATGTTTGTCTTTATGTTTGTTTTTGTAGGTAATAATATATATCATTATATATCATATTCGTTAATTTATTGGTACATCCATGCATAAATTCAAAATAATGTTTATAGATTATAGAGAAAGATGAGTTAATCATTATAAGCTAGATATATAATTATCAAAGATATCAAAATAGATTGATTCTTAGAATATAAGACTTGAGATTTAGTCTGCATGCGGTGATATATAATCATTAAATGCATATGTAGCTCCATTCACAAGGGCACCTCTATTTCATATAAGTCATCCTATTATCGATGTACCATTAAATAGATAAAATTTACTATATCAATGAAATCAATAGGATGGATAAATCGTATTTGATGCAAAGATTTAATTCAGTCTCTAAAGATGTTATTGCCGAGAGGGCTAACGACAGTGACGATTATATTTGAGCCAATGTAGTAGTCATAATAAAAGCAGAAAGGGGTGGATCTTTTTCCCTTTGTATTCTTAACTACTATTCCTATTTCATAAATAATGACAAAGAGAAAAAAAAAGGAGAGTGAAGGAGAGAGATAAGGCTATGATAAAGCTTCTGAAATTGAAGTGGATAATATTATACCTATCAAATTATTATAAGTTAATCTTAGTCTTATCCATACAAAGCAGATGGATTTTTTTCCCTTTATGTTTATGGCTACTACTCTCAGTTGACAACAATTGCAAAGAGAAAAAGTGAAGAATAGAGATAAGACCATTGTGAATTTTCTTAAATTAAAGTTGATAATATTATACCAGTAAACACATTCTAAAGCTAACTGATCTGTCAGTTTCATGTGACTCAAATTAATAATTAAAATATTTAAGTTAAAATTAATTATAATATATTCATCATATTTTTATAAGTTAATATTAATTTTTTATTTTGGATATCGGATTAATTAAAATGCTATAATGGAGGATCTTAGCAAAAAAAAAAAAGGATTGAATGCAAAACTAAAAACAAAAACAAAAGAAATACGATGAAACAATCTATCATGAGTTGGAGAGCATAAGAAGGCTAAAAAGGTTCTCGTACGGAGAGCTGGTCACCGAGAATTCTCAAGGAGAAAAGGAGTCTCTTGTTGGAATTAAACTTGTTGAAGTATCATAAAGAGGTTCATTTCATCAAAAGAAAGGTTCATTGCATCAAGTGGGAGAATCATTACATCAAGAAGAAAAAATAGATTAAAAGTCTATAGAAGGATAAGTCAAATTGGTTATTGATTCTTAAAAGAGTTTCTTGAAAGAGAATGATTCATTTGAATACAATTAATATAATGTATCTTTGGGGACTATATAAACTCCATATGTTGGGTCATGAGAAAATAGAGTTTCTGAAATTGTAAAAGTGTTTTTCTTGAGAGAAATATAGAAGATTGAAGCTTGTCCTACTCTTCTTCTGTTTGATAACTCCATCCCCTCTTCCTATCAAGTTCAACATTTGGTATCAGAGCATAGGTTAAGTTATGGCCTCTTCCTCAAGTGTCATCCAACTCCAGATCCCTAGATTGACAAAAGAAAATTATGACATATGGTGCATCCAAAAGAAGATTCTTCTAGGCTCCCAAGATGTATGGGAGTTTGTAGAAGATGGATTTGCTGAACCAAGTCCAGCAGAAGAAGGAGCAATTAATGCAGAAGGAAGAAAACAACTCAAAGAAAGAAGGAAAAAGGAGAAAAAAGCTTTATTCACGATCTACAAGTTTGGGAAATGCTTCAAAGGAGGCTTGGGAAATGCTTCAAAAAGCATTCGGTGGTGTTGATAACGTAAAGAAACTTCGTCTACAAGTTTTACGAGTCGAGTTTGAAAAATTACAACAAGGTACTTCTGAAACTATTTCTGATTACTTCTCAAAAATCATTTCTATTGTTCATCAAATGAGACGAAATGGTGAATAAATAAATAATCAGAGAGTAATAGAAAAAATATTGAGATCTCTAGATCCGAAATATGATTTTATTGCTGTTGCGATTAAAGAATCTAAATATTTGAAAAAAATGTCTTTAGAAGAACTTATGGGTTCCCTTCAAGTTCATGAACAAAGGATTACAAAAAGAGGAGAAGACAAACCTATGGAGCAAGCATTACAAACGAAGCTTACTCTTGAAAATAAACGAGAATCAAATTCTCAAAGAGGAAGAGGAGGCAGAAATCAGACTAATCAAGAATCTCTAAACATTGAAGGTGGTGGAGAAAATTCTAACCAAAGAGGCCGAGGTTATGGTCGAGGACGTGGCCGAGGCCGTGGACATGG